ATGGTATTATGCATTTCTAACGGGACGACAACAGCAAGTGAAAATTAATTCAACTTTCTCTGATATATTGGTCACAAATGTTGGAGCTCCTCAAGGCTGCGTAAGTTCCCCCCTTATTTTTACACTATATACGAATGATTGCAGGAATCGGTACATAAACAACTACATTATTCAATTTTCAGATGATACAGTTATACTTAGTTTGCTGACAAATAATTCGGATGTCGGCATGTATAAATCAGAGATAGAAAGGGTTGTGCAGTGGTGTGAGGAACACAACTTGATGTTGAATGTCAAAAAAACTAAAGAAATGATCTTTGACCCGAGGTTGGGGGGTGATCATAGTCCAATTTTAGTTAATGAGGAGGAAGTTGAGCAGGTAACAACATATAAGTATTTGGGTATCTACTTTGATTCTCAGCTGCAATGAAATCATCAAATGGACTGTTTGTACATGAGCTAGTCAGTGCTTGCATTTTTTGCGGAGGCTCAGGGTTTATGGAGTGGATAAAACTATCATGTTACTGTTTTACAGATGAGCTATTGAATCTATAATATGTTATGGGTTTACAATATGGTTTGGAAATTTGACTGTTCAACTTAGGTCACAACTTCAAAATGTGGTTAGAAGAGCTGGAAAAATAATTGGTATGTTGTCTCCACTTTCTCTTCAGGACATTTTTGAGAGGTCTGTTAGGAAGCAGAGTCTTAAAATTATTGGTGACCAAAGCCATATTCTCCATAAGGAGTATGAGCTAATGCCCTCGGGCAGGAGATATAGGGTTCCAATCTGTAAGCTGAAAAGATACAAATTTTCTCTAATTCCATTATCTGTCAAATTATTGAATAAGTGATTGAAATTGTTGTGTGGGTGAGGGTAATGTGATGGTAACATGTAATGTTGGTGTATTACTAGGATTCTATAGGAATTATGTTTTGGAATGGTGTAATATTTATTTATTTTATATTTATTTATATATTTTTTTGTATGTTTGATCTGCTCTCCCGGTTGCCTAAGACAAATTTCTCCAAAGGGAGACAATAAAAGAGAAACTTAAACATTGCCAAAGTACCTACAGTATGCTACCTAAAAATTCAGTCTTAGTAGGCATCCTGCTAGGTTTTGTTGTCATTTGTCCTTTGGAGAGCTGGGAGAAAATGAAATGCAGTGGCATTATGTATGTCTAGTCATTCTATATAGTGCCACTGGCAAAACTAAACATTACAGTGTGTAATTGCTTTGTTTATATGCATGAAAGAATGATGTGATCTATTATCCACACATTTGGTGTCCCTCATGGTTAATTGTGGGGTCCAATTGTGTTCATGCCTGTGGTGAAACGTGTTTCATTCATTATCACCCAGGAGTCCTCCACTTCCTTGTTTAAACCAGTGTCCTACTTTAATTACATCACCCCCAAGACACACATAAAGATAAGAATACATATAGTAATATGCATTAGTGCCTCGGTCATGGAGCTTTTCTTAAATGCTTCCTTGTAGAGCATGGACAGGTGCAGGACTGTACCTGCTCCTGTCTCTCCTGACACTCATTAGATGCGCCCAGGGGTTTATTGTGCTTGGTGGACTCAGGTGGGCCCGTTATTCTGTCCTATCTAGTTCTCCACGTCTAATGAGGGCGTCTCTCCCTGTCTGTCTCTATCTCTCTTTGTGTCTCCCTCGATTGGTCGCCCTGCCCCCTGTGAGGACGTCAGCGCCATGGAGGGTAATTAAAGCCCAGCTGCTCCTCGCTTTCACACCTCGCTCTCTCTCTCTCTCTCACTCTCTCTCGCACACACACACACACACACACACACACTCTGGTGTTCCCCAGATGAGGTCACCTTGTGGCGTCTCTGAATTCTGTGTCTCCTGTCAGATTTACTTTTTCAACAAGCTTTACAATTCAAAAGTTTAGGGTCTGTAAGATTTCTTAATGTTTTTGAAAGAAGTCTCCTATTCTCCTCAAGGCTGTATTTATATGATAAAATAAAAAGAAAGAAAAATAAGAAGTAATATTGTAAAATATTATTACAGTGTAATATAACGGTTTCTATTTAATTTATTTTTGAATTTTCGGTGGCCATTACTCCTGGTGGTCTTCAGTGTCGCATGATCCTTCAGAAATCGTTCTAATATTGATTTGGTGTTCAAGAAATATTTCTTATTCTAATCAATGTTGAAAACAGATGTCCTGCTTAATATTTTGGTGGAAACCATTATACTTTTTTTCAGGATTCTTTCATTTATAGAACATTCAATAGAACCACGT